TTCTTTTTCTCCACCACAAATATTAAGAAAACATACATTTTTATTATACATAACTTATAAAATTAGCGAGAGCATAATAGTGGTCTGTCAGATCGACATTGTGGTTAGTGTAATTTTTTGGGATGTGATGGTTTAAAGGTTAAATATACTATATTTATTAAAAATACTATCATGATCAACATTTACTAAGAAAATCATTTGATCTTTATTCAGAAGTCTTTTTATCGGATTTTATCATTTTTTGTGAAAAAAAAAATATTTGTTTGAACTTTAACAGGATTGTGCCACGTCTTTCCATTGTCCGATCGAGCTCAACTTTAACATAATTTTTTTTTCACCAAATGGAACAACTTTAGGGAACGTCGTGAAAAAAATTCGAAAAAAATTGTTCACCAATATATAGCTAAGATCCACCCTAATATATATTAATATCATTATACGTAAAAATGAACTTTTTTAAAAATATGTTTTTAATTTGCTCTTTAACAACCAAAATTAGGGGGAAACAACTTTTAAGTTCGTTTTCTTGTTAAAAAATACGGCTTTTGCGCAACATTTTTTTCTTATTTTTTTTTATTTATTATATTTAAAATATATATAATAAAATATTGTAATATATATTAAAATATAGATAATAAATATATAATAATATATACGCGTTTACGAATCATCTATATACAATTCTCTGCACACAAAATTTGTGGTAACAAACACGTCATTTAATTCCTTTTTTGTATTGTGTTACGTATTACCGAATATTCTATATATTACGCGCGCAAAGGTATTAAGGTACGAGTACTTTTGAGACGCATAGTATACGCACGCGGATAAATAGGCAACTCAGATAGCACAGAGAGTTCAAAAAGAACTTATCAATTCTGAGTTCATTTTCAGATGCAAAAGGAATTCCTTTTTTTTTAATTCAAAAAAAAATTTTCTTGCATCTGAAAATGAACTCAGAATTTATAACGTAATGAATTAAAATACGATAAAACGAATAAATTCTCTTTGAATTCTGTGTGCTCTCGGGAAAAAGTGACTACCGACTCGTAGTCTTCATAATCGTGGAATCACGTATGTATAGTTTGATATCTGACAAGTCTGTCTGTTTATCTTATAATCTACTGACGTGGCCACATACAGTCTCTTTTTTAAATATAAATATTTAAACTGCAACTGCGAGAGTGTATTTTCCCTAATTCCTTCTGCAAACCTCAACATATTGTATATTAATGTTGTTTTACATTACACAGGGTAGTTTGTCCGAAGCAATTAATCAAACTGCTATAAAGAAAAGTAAGAAATGGAAGTGGCAGGTGGCATTCAATGGTTAGAGCAGGCACAAACGAAAATTATGAATGATGATAATTCAGATCGCGTGAAACATGATAATATCCAAAATACTGTGAAAGAAACTATATCAAGTGCAAGAAATCAAAGCGACAATATTGATGAATACGTAAAAGATGTAAACGAACGTTACGAACTTGCAGAGGCAAGAAGCGCCGTTAAACATATCGAATATATTATGAAATATATTGTCGATGAGAATTTTGTGTACCCGAAGGACTATGACAAATGGACGAACGATGAAAAATATGAATATGCAATAGATAGCATTATAAAAAAATCTATCCCAAATATACCAGACTCCGTATCCTATCTTTTACCGGCCGTAAAGTATCGGGGAGATTGCGGTCGAAATTCAACGGACAAGCCGCTCTGGTTAGACATGGAAATGTTCCAGAGAGGTCAAAAGTTCGTGCGAGACCATGATTTCTCGAATTTCGTCGCTAACGCGTTGTCGCTTTTCGTGATATTCTCTTCCACAAATGGTCTTAAACCGTTAATCTTCAGCCGACAATCTCACACGCCGTATTTAGCGTTCAAGAGGTACTACATGACAATTTCGATAAAATCTCGTAGATCCAAATTAATTTATAATCGCGTTAGAAACTAAAACTAAGTCTTCAAACGTTCAGGAACAGTAGATGAATCTTGAAAAAAATATAATATTTGAACTTTACGCATTTATATAATGTGATTTATAATATATGTAAATAAGTAACTTTCATAAACACACACAATTTGTCTTGAGAAAAAAACTACATGTATAGGCATTGATAGATCTTGAGATTTACGTCAACTAGAATGAAGAAAAAAACGTAGGAAAGAATAATATGTTTGCAAGTATTACTTTGCTTGATTTTGAATAAAATATTATCGCGTTTTACTAGTCATTAATTAAGAGCATTATAAAATAAACAATAAAAATTTAGCGTATATATACAGTAGCAACTTTGCGAACATAATATTAGTAGTAATAATAAAAAATTGCCTTCAAAATTTAAATTTCAAATATATATTTCGATGAGATATGGAGTTCAAGTCAATATTCAAATATTCTAATATTCGACTTGGAGTTTCTTGTACAATTAATTTTTTTGCCTTGTTTTTCCAATTTTTAATTGATCTGATATAAATTATGCATGTTATATACATAGAATATCATTGAATATTCCACGCAAAAAATAATAACAAATAAATTGATTGTCGGGAATGATTAATTGCAAAATTTTATTAATTTATAAATCTTAGTAAAATTAAGCAAAACAGATATTTTTGCGTGTTTGTATAGCGACATCATTTTTCAATTTCGGTGATACATAAAGCAACAAAATCGAATCAGATTCGATTTATTACATTCAGCCAGGAAATGGAAAGTTACTTTTTAAAAATAACTATAGTCATCGTTACTCGTTACTGAGTTAAAAAAATAATTAGTTACCGTTACTAGTTACAGATTTTTAAAAATAACTCGTTATCGTTATTGTTACTTAAAAAGTAACTCGTATAATTATTACTTTTCCGTTATTTTTTTAATGCTGAAACAAGATCAATCTAAATAATTTAAGATGCAATTTTTTGTTTTAATATTAATAAAAGCAATACAACAATGACACTAGACAGATATATATAAATACAACTAGGAAAATGAAGGCCTTTTCAATATGAGCTAGAGCTTCCAGCTTCGTGCTTAATATTTTGAAATAAATTTATATATACATTATATATATCCAATTTTACAAACTACGTGCTAATTAAATTTTCAATCTTAAAACAATTAATTCAGTTAATATTTTTCACAATAAATTTTTTAAAGTATATTAAGATGCATATATAACATAAAAATATTAAAGTACTTGTCAATTTAATTTATGATATTAATTGACTTATGGCATTCTTAAGATGTTATAAACCAATTACAGAGTCATATTAATATTTTAGGACATTATTTAAAATAGTCTTAAAATAAGAGTAAACTATGTAAATACTAGCTTAAAACTGAAGATTGAATATACATACGAAAATTTTGTTATAAATACAAAAAGTTCAAAATATAAAAAGTAACGATAAAAGTAACTGTATAATTCGTTACCGTTACCGAAAAAATGTAACTACGTTACCGTTACAGTTACCAAAATAATAAAATAACGTCATTATACCAATCCGTTACCAAAAAAAATAACTGTAACGGTAACGGCGTTACAAGTAACGAGTCACTTCCAATCCCTGCATTCAGCATTCTGATTTTCATTAAAGGTACGTATCCACGGCTTGTCGTGTAACAAATTGGATGACGTACGATCCGTGGACTGTTGGCACGCGAGCCTACAACGACGTGCAAGCTGTGCGCAGAATGCATCGTGCGGTGCGATTGCAACTCTGCGAGCGCGACGATGTGGAGATAGATATGGCCTGTAAAATTCGAAATCCATGGTGTCCGGACAGAGAGACAATTTTAGAAGACTTTTCTTCCTGTCCAGCTTTAATGAAAAACGGTATAAATATATGTGAAATAATCTCACAATCAGCCAAAGGATTGAATCAAGCTGACATGGCAGCCACGCAATTCGCTTTTCTCGGGTTAATTGTGTTGTACCCTCACGAGCTCGGCTTTCATGCTAGCGATGAAGATATGGCAGCCTTTTGTCACACATGGAGAGGTCTAGGATATCTTCTTGGTATGGAGGACCAGTACGTATCGGTGCGCCGTATAAATTCACTTATATTACTCATTATATAACAACGTCTTCGATGTTAATGAAAAGGCCGTTTATAATATATAAAAAGTTTGATCACTGACAGCTCTCTTTTCGATTTTACTTTTTTAAATAAATTTATTCACGTTAACTGAATTTTACAATGCATACTTTTATTTCCAATCTGTCTCTTTCGTCTTAATTTTGTGACTGGATATACAGGGTGTCCCAAAATTCTTAATTAATATTTCAAGGCGTGAAAGAAAATGAAATTTTGAACTAAAAGTTTCTGTATTAATTTTGGATCAGACCATTATTTACAGAGTTATTAACAAATAATCAATTACATTGCGCTTAACCGAAGTACGAAGGAGCGTAGCTGTGCGGCTCTTCGCGCTTACTTTTCTCGATTAAAATTTTATTCTAATTTTTTTATATTAATAAATAAGCAAATGAATAAATCAATAAATAAGGTAGGTAAATAAATAAATAAGTAAACACAAATAAATAAATAAGAATAAATTACAATTCGAAATTTATCTAATTTTTGATTGTTTGTATTATTATTTATTATTTACTTATTTTAATAAGGAAAAGTTTAACAAGAATTTATTAGAACTTTTACTTATTTATTAATATGAAAAATTAGAATAAAATCTTAATCGAGAGAAGTAAGCGCGAAGAGCCGCACGGCATGATACGCTCCTTCGTACTCCGGCTAAGCGCGATCTGATTGATTAACTTTATTCGTTAATAACTTTGCAAATAATGGTCTGAGCCAGAATTAATACAGGAACTTTCAGTTCAAAATTTCATTCTCTTTCACGTCTTAAAATATTAATTAGAAGTTTTGGGACACTCTATATATATTCGTATGACAAACTTTTTCAACGCTTGAGCATTTTTTTCTTACTTGTCATCTATGTCTCATTAGAACTTTAATGAAAATAAATGTTCCAGATATAATTTCTGCCGCGGCAGTCTGAAAGAGATTAAGCAAAGATCGCGCGACTTTGTCGAATTTTTTATGAAGCCCAGCTTGTTGAAAGTAACACCTGAATGGGAACATATGTTGAGATGCTTTATAGAAGGTTCAGTTTACTTTGGTAATATTTGTTCTTTCAAAGTATTTCTACTGTTCGTCACCGATTTATTAAACTTTGATATGCCACGTATGCGAAGTACACTCACTTATTCTGAACGGTTACTTCTTATGCTCTTACGGTGAGTATCGCGAGCTAAAAAAGCACAAATAATGCACGAGAATTCTCTTATACTTATTAGAAGTCGAGAAACTGATATAAAAACTATATTATTGACAAAATAAACTTTTTATCCAAATTATTTCTTGTGAATGAGCAAAGGTCAAGTCTTTCATCATCAATTGCATACAATCAATTGGTTTGACATAAAGTAAAGAATTTTGATAATTTAGAGAAATTTATGAGGATTCATTATAAAATTATTATAAAAATATAATTTTCTGATTGTAATTGTGTACAGATTCGAATGTTTAAAAAACTGATGAAACTGATAGTAATGCATTATATATTATTAATGCATTATAAGTCTAATTTATAGGACATCGAACCGTATAATATAAAATTTTTTGTCATATTTTTACTGCTTATCTTATTTACCTTTATAATCGTAATAATAATCATTTCTTTCTATAATTTCAGTTTTACACTTCGTTATGCCTGTAAATTACGATTCGTAAGAGAATGTTTGAATAAGATATTTCAGAAGACACTCGATAAAGCAGTCAAAGCTGGACCTGAAAAGCATAAGAAATTCAAGAAGAGATCTCAAAAGCTTGTAGACGAGGATTAATAATATTTAATGCAGACTCGGAGTGCATTATTGGGTATTACTATATGTAGATATTAAATATTAGTGAGCATTAATAAGCATTAATAGAATAATATATATTAACGAAATAAGGCAATATTAGATGATGTTAACTTATATTATGAATATTTTTCTGCATTCTGAAATCATAAGAAAGTATAAAATAATAGAATATAATAATACAATGAAACGTAATAAAAGAGGAATAAAGGAGGAAGAAAGAGAAAGAGAAAGGAAAATATATTTATATACAATTAGTTCTATATATTTATATAACATTAGGAATGTGTGTTCTGAAAGAAGCAATACGCAATATAAAAAAAAACGCTTATTCATATTTGACGTCTGATCAGTGAAGTAATTTGCGCAGGAATAATTTGTTATATAATACCACCGAGGTCTGCATAATTAAGTCATTTGTAATGAAGAGAAGTGCGCAAAATTTTCCGAAGAATTCAAACAATTTCAAGTTCTCATAAGATAAAGCTCTTTTTTTATTAAATATTAAATTTATAAAATATTAAATATTAAAAAAAATTTTATAATATTAAAGCTCTTTTTTAAAGTTTAAAGATACGTACGAATTATTTGTTTTTTTTCAACTTAAATAAAAGCAAAGCAAAATAAGGCGATATGTAAGAGAAGATAGACGGAATAGCTATAATAACGTTCGCTAATAAATAATTAAGTTAAATATCAACTGAAATATAATTGAACAGCAAACAAGGTCACTTTTTTACTATTTTTGATTAATAGCAAATTATAGTAAAAGTAAAAAATGTCAAATAGCGCGCGCGAAGTGTTTGTAATGCTAGTAATAAAATAAAACAAAAAATTACAATAAAAATACAAAATGCGATATAAACGATCACGATTGCTCTGACATAGGGAGTTTGAATAAAAACAATATTTTAGCTATGCTTCAAATTTTCAAGTTTTGTAAAAATCATTTGCGTTCAGTTATATATTAACTTATTATTTTAATTGCTTGTTTTTATTGTAGCCGGATATCTATACTATTTATTGATACAAACTTAAGTAGTGTAAAAGCATTTAACACAGTTTGGGAAGCAAATTAAACTTCCAAAAGCGTACGAAGGATCTCCATCTCCCCCTATATATACACGTGTATATAGGATAATAAATATAATATCGCTAGTAGATATGCAAAGTAAGTTAAACTGAATAAAGTTCTTCACTATTTTAGTATTTCCATACTAAATAATAAGAAATTATTTAATAACGATTAGCGGATTCGTGTGCGTTGGATGCGATTTAGCGATAGGAAACAGTATTACGCATGATTTGCGATACTAAATACACGTTTTTTCCAATACTTCGTTACACGTGTAACAATCGGCGTTTAACGATAGGACCCTTTCGCCACGCTTACATTCATCGTTAAATCGTTACATTATCATTATACAGGGTGTCCGGTGTTCAATGGTAAAGCGCTCATGGGGAAGTATAATGGATCAAATTGAATTGAGAAGTCTTCTATCATTTTGCGATCTTCGCAATAGTTTTCGAGATAATAATCATAAAAAAAAATTACGCCATGTATATAAAAAAGATTACTATTGTACATTACATCTTTCCTAAACCATTGGTCATTTTAGTCACTTTAAACCTTTTATGAGACTTAAAATTATTTAGAATAACAATGGCATTAAACTTTTGCTGCAAATGCTTTTGAATGGTTTAAACAGTTTATTAAAAAAATATTTTTAGTTTGAAATAAAATATTTTTGTCTCTATGTCTAATCAAATACTTGGCAACTTATATGTTCTCATATTTATTTTTGAACAACTTTTATTTGTTAAAATAATATTTTTGGTTTAGAAAAGATATAATGTACGATTTACTTTTGGCGTAAATTTTTTTTTTAAATGATTAGTATCTCGATAACTATTGCGAAGATCGCAAAATGGTAGAGGACTTTTCGATTCAGTTTAGCCCATTTTATATCTGTCCAACTCTTTATCATTAAGTACCGGACATCCTGTATATCATATATGTATAGTAAAGAAATAATAAATTATATGATAAAGAAATATTAGCAATTTTAATCGTCGTTTGAAAACGTCAATATTAATTAAATCACATAATATTTGATTCTAATTTGATCGAAAATTAAAGGCATGTAAAATTTTTTGAGAAATATTAGAAATATAAAAACAAATGATGTATTTCTGTTTATATTTCAGAAATAAAAATTGAAGCATAAATACTTATTAATGAAAAAGTATAAGTAAAATTACAAAATAAGCCAAATTCAACAAGAAAGAATTATGTTTTAAATAGCAACTAGTAAATTGAAAACAAAAACGCTTTAATTTAATATATCTTTTAGTACACAAACTTTTAGTACATTATATAAACATAAATATGTCATTTGATTTGCTTACGTTACGTAGAAGAAGTTTAAATATTTCGTGATGTATTACTTTATAAATGATATGAAATTATTACTAAATAATTTTATGTTTTTTGTAACATAAAACAAATTATATTTAATAGTATTAATTAAATTAATGTTTAATTTTTAGCAATATTTATACTATTTAATATAAGAAAAAGGCATAATTACTCATTAAATGTTCTTTTTATCTCTTTCTTGATGAAAGCTGCAGCGTTGTTAATGTTTCCTTCTATTTCTAGTGCTTCTAATATTTTTTCATTTATTTCTTCTTTCAGTTATTCCTCTCTTTTATACATTTTGGTAAAGTCATGCAATATTTCTCGTATTTTTTGCTTTATTTCATCAACGTACGTCCTTTCTTCTGGTATTATATTCTATAGCTTCCCGTTGCGCATTTTCAAGACTCCTTCGGTCATCATCTAACAACGTCCTATAAGAATCCATAAGATATAGAATAAGTTAATTTTCATATTAATTACGTTTTTATATTAAGTACATTCCAAGCCGTAACAATTTTAGGTGACGTTACGAAAGATTTAAAAGAAGTTTAAATATTCCGTGATTAATTACTTTATAAATGATATGGAACTGTTAATAGATAATTTTGTGTTTTTTGTAACATAATGCAAATAATATTTATAGTATTGAAAAATTAATGTTTAAATTTTAGCAATATTTATGCTATTTAACATAAGAAAAAAGCATAATAACTCATTAAATGCACTTGTTATTTTCAGGGTTGAGAACGTTTACCTTAAAAACGTAATGCGTTACCGTTACCGTTACTTGAAAAGTAACGATTCGTTATTTTATCGTTACTTTTTTGTAATACTGAAATAAGTTTAATTAGATTTCAAATTTGTATTATTTTATAATTATTATTAAATATAACAATAAATATTAAAAGTTGAAACTCTTCAAATTAGTCTGTATATAGAGCATATTTTTCTCTACATTACTTATTTTTATAGAAAGTAAGATTAAATCTATTGTCTCTAAAATTATTAAGAATATATTCCAATCTTCACTGTTAGTTA